TGCACTCTGACAACGAGGGAGCTTTAGTCTACTGAGATACCTGGCTGGCCCTTTAAAAAGGCGTAACTTAGCTGGGCACGCTGGTGCACACCTGTAATCTTAGCACTCTGGAGGCTGAGGCAGGAGGATCACCACGAGTTCAAGGCCAGCATGGGCTACATAGTGAGACCTTGTCTCAGAAATAAAAATGTGTCCACTTTAGCAGCATGAGGCGTTACAGCGCTGTGCAACCGTCATCACTGTTCCTAATAGCCACCACGTGCAAAGCATGAGCTATCAGAGACTTTAATACTTCATTAGCACATATATCACAATTTCTCTTTGCAATATGTAAGCCTAAAATCTTAATTACTTGGTTCTATGTCTACCTTTTCTTTTTGGTACCGGGGATTGAAGTCAGGACCTCGCATTTGCCAGGCAGCTGCTTATGCCACAGAGCTATCTTCCCCGGCCCTCTATTTCCTATTTGTGGTCTTCTTGACATTACATTTTTTTTTTTTTTCAGCGAAGATTGTTACAAAAGAAAGAAATAGTCTTCACCAAATGCTTACAGAAACAATAAAATTGTTTTCAGGTGAAAAAAATGTCCTTGTAGCCTCTCACAAGATACAGAACAAAGCAAGCTGCTCTGACCCATCGGTGCTTTCCCTCTCCAGGGGGCTGAAGGAGGGCGCAAGCGATTTAAAGCCGCGCTCTGTAGTCCAGCCCCGCCCCCGCCCGGTTCCTCACCTGGACGCTCCTTTTCTACTCACTGGACACGTATTGATTGCCAAAGCAAAGTACTACTCTTTCAAAGGGCCCTGTCAGCAAGGACTACTAACCTCACCACCTCTTTTATACACCTCTAAGGACTCTCTTTCTGGCCTCTACAAATCAAGTCTCTTAAAAATCGAGCATGTGCTGCACTGTGTTTCTGCGAGGCCGAGCCCGGTGCTGACCTTCATAAGCCTGGTGAACGAGGTTAAACAGCCGTTCTGCTTGCGATTTGAGCTCCGGGTCTCTGTGCTTGTCCGGATGGTAGAGCATACACAGCCTGCGGTAGGCAGCTTTCAGCTCTTCAGAAGAGGCCTAACGAAAGAAAAATTCAGTTAGAGAGCAATCAATGGTACTTACACACTGTCACGATCCGAGTGGCCTTGAAGTGGAACTGTCAGCCATATTGCAGCGTGTCTATCCTCTCCATCCAGGACAGAGCGAAGTTAGGCTTTATCACCTCAGTAAGGCTTTTTCCCACCACTAATAAAGTGATCACTTATGTACATCAATAGCGACTGTGTCTTGCTAAGGAGCACGGTCATCAGATGGAGCGAAAGCGTCCAGGCCTGCGTGGAACCAGCACACCCTGAGCTGGAGCGCAAATGCCACGGGGACCAGCCTTCCCTTCTCCCACGTGACCGGCTGTAAATCACACGTGGGAATGCATTCAGAAGGGAGACTCTGGGACCACTAGACAGAAATGGCAGCTGCTGAAGCACTTTTGCAAAGATTTAAAAAGCATGTTAACTCAAGAACACCAAAGGCTGGACGGCAAGAGCAGTGGACCCCATTCCTACAGGCTCTGATTCCAAACGTGGCAAACACGCTTTCCCAGCCTGACCCAAGGCTCCTTCCCAACTCACTACTCTTCCTCCCGGTGGGCAACAGGGACTGCGTGGCTCCAACAGCCAGGTGACGTAGGTGTGAGTCACAGCACAGAGGCAGCAGGAAGAGCCAGGAGAGTGGTCCTCTCTTTGGCCTCCTCGCCCACCCACCTGAGGTCTCAGCCACAGCCCTGAGGCACCAGTTGCAGCCTTCCCTGTGCTAGCCATGTTGGCCACTTTGGGCTGCTGGAAGCAACCCTGCTGCTGCTCCAAGCACAGAGGAGGGTTGACCTCACGCAAACAGCAGTTCCTCCTCAGAGCAGCTCGGGCATCTTGACAAGTACAGTGTCTACGTGGGTCACTGAGCTATCAGCCGTCTGGGGGAAGTAAGAGTGGGCCCAGGTCTGCAGGGGGGCTCCTTGGGACCTGGCAGTGCTCTAGGGACAGGTCCTGGAGGGGCGGGAGAGACAGCTCGGTGGTCTAAGTGCCTGCCTGGCCAATGCAAGGACCCAGGTTCGATCCCCAATACCTGTACCCTGGAACCCCCAGTACACTGGACCAGCCCTGAAACCAGGCTTTATGGCGCACACCTGCAAGCGCAGCACTGGGGAGGCTGAGACGGGAGTCTCACGCTGAGTCAGAGCTGTGTAGTGAGACTCTGTACCAAATAAAAGATTAAAAAACAAGTTTAGAAAAGGAACAGGGGGCCAGGCAAATGGCTCAGTGGAATATGCACTTCCCTGGCAAGCGCAAGGGCCTGAGTTCAATCCTCGGTTCTGCAAAAAAAAAAAAAAAAGGAACAGGTCCTGGCCTGGGACAGGTCACAGGGACAGAAAAAGCCAGACACCAAACTTACAAAGAAAAATACATTATTTTTCTAAAATCTCTACAAATTTTCCTCTTTCAATCACAGACTAATGAATCTTTTTCTATCCCATCCCAAAAAGCCCCAGCACTTTCCTACAGCACCATGTTGCTCAGAATCAGAAGGCCAGGAAACATGTGAATTCAGCAGCAGTTCTCGGGACAAGTTCTGAGACTGCAAAGAGGGAGATCAAAAGGGACTCCAAGGACACACAGAAGACAGGTGACCTGTGGACACACATACCCTCGCCACCTCCTTGTGGGTGTGACCCTGTCTGAGTCCCACCCCACTGGGCTTGCCACAGGGAAGAGCTGCAGCAGCCTGGCCTTCAGCCAGCCTGGAGAGCTAGCTCCTGCCTTCAATCAGCAGCTCCTGGAAGGCTCTGGTACCCGGAGGGAGTGGCTCCTGCCCCTTGCAGCTGGTGCCTCTCCCTCCATCTCCACCTGGTTATCTGTGCGACTGACCTGGACACATGCTGACTTCCCAGGGGCTGAGAAGGGCTCTGGAGTCACAGCCTGTTTCGCAGTAACAGATCTGGCACTTCTGAGCTTTTCAACTCTGGGCAGGTGACCTTTCTGATCTCTAGCTTTCTCATCTGAAAAGGGACATTA